GCACATCCAAATGAAGGATACCTGTTCCCAAATATTGGGGCCAATACTTGAGAGAGATTTTCTTGTTCCATGTATTGGCACAATACATTTTTAAGACTGCACAATTTTATATTCTTTTTCCTCCTTCTCATGTCTTAGAGAGCCATGATTGATTATTGTATCTTGATTATTTTATTTCTCAGATTCTTGATACCTTGAAAAAAACAAATATACTGTCTTTTCTAATGTTTATTTCCTAAAATAAACATTTTCCTAAAATAAACAGTGCTATTAGCTCCTCATGGCAGTCCAAATGTCAACCTCGCTCTCTCTCTGGTGCTCCTCTCCAATTCTTATCCTAGGAAACTCTAGCTCATCTCTTCATGTGCTCCAGTGCCACAACTGCGAAGGCTTCGTTGGTTATTCCAGGCTGCAATCCACTTCCCCCCCTACCCCATGCCTCTCACAGGACTTTTTTCATATTTCACTCTTGGCCTTTATTGCACCAAATCATGATGGTTTGTTACCATGTTTGTTACCCCCTCTAGACTGTGAGTTACTTGGAAGAGCATGTCTTTTCCATCTTTAGGTCTCAGGATCTCATATAATATCTGATGCTAAGTATGGAGTAAAGTTAGATATTGGAGGCACTCGGTGCCTGAATTCTTTTTTTTTTTTTTAAGGTATTATTATTTGGCAGAGAGAGAGCATGAACAGGGGGAATGGCAGGCAGAGGAAGAGGGAGAAGCAGGCTCCCTGCTTAGCAAGGAGGCCTATGCAGGGCTCTAAGCAGGGCTCCATCCCAGGACCCTGGGATCATCACCTGGATGGAAGGCAGTGGCTTAATTGACTGACCCACCCAGGCACCCCTGAATTCTTTATTTTTTGACCCACATGTCTTCTCTGAATTGGATATATGTTTAAAAGACCAATCCAATGGGTGTCTGGGTGGCTCAGTTGGTTAAGCGTCTGCCTTTGGCTCAGGTCATGATCTCTGGGTCCTGGGATGGACATTGGACTCCTGGCTCAATGAGAAGTCTGCTCCTCCTTCTCTCTCTACCTCTCCCCTCTGTTCATGCTGTCTCTGTCTCAAATGAATAAATAAAATCTTAAAAAAAAAGACCAAGGCAAGAAAAGGAAGTCTTGTGATGATCATTCATTTTTTGCTTGCTTTCTGTCTCCTCCATTGCACCTTCATTTCTTTCATTTTTCTTCTTCTCTCTAATAGATAAAAATATTCACAGTCTAAAAAGTAAAGCAATGAATTATAACTTATTCATGATTATATGCTGGTATAAATATGTAACTGAATAAAAATTTAAATGAGGGAGCATAGACAAGTCTCCCATACCACACAATTCCAAATAATTTATGTAGATCTTCTATCCTCGTTTGGAAGAGCATGACTCCCTACTCTCTATGTGCGGGCTGAATATGATGACTTCCTCCCAAAGAATATGATGTGGAAAGGGAGAAAGAGAATAGGTTTACACTGGAAAAACCTGAGAAATATTGCCTTTGCCAAGTGACTGAAGTAAACATCAATAGAGAAGTCATGTTTATAGTATGTACCCTTGATATAATGTGATGAGAGTGACATGTTACCTCTGTGTCTTTCTTCCAAAAACTTGTAACTCCTTGGCTAAGCAGCAAATTCAATTTGCAGGACCTTCTACAAAATACCTAACTAGGACTTCTCAAACTGCTACGATTATCAAAAATAAGGAAAGTCTAAAAAAACTCACAGCCAAGAAGGACCTAAAGAGATGTGACCAGTGAATGTAGTGTGGTATCTTTGATGGGATCCTTGAACAGAAAAAGGACATTAGGTAAAAAATAATAATAATAATAATAATAAAATAATAATAAGGTAATATGAATAAAGTATGAGCTTTATGAGCTTTAGTTAGTGATGACATGTCAATGTTGGTGAATTGGTCAGGATGAATGTACTATAGTCATGTGAACAATGGGGGACATTGAGTGCAGTGTGCACACGCTGAGTCTTACCTAAAGTAGATATTCTCCACTTGGTTACTTCCTATTATGTCACCATGGTCACTGCCTTCAGAGCAACTATCATAGTCTATCATGATCTTTTTTATTTGTTGTTGTTTTTTTTTATTTTTAAAAGATTTTATTTATTTATTCATGAGAGACACAGAAAGAGAGAAGCAGAGACATAGGCAGAGGGAGAAGCAGGCTCCATGCAGAGAACCCTGATGTGGGACTCGATCCCGGAACTCCAGGATCACTCCCTGAGCCCAAGGCAGACGCTTAACTGCTGAGCCACCCACGTGTCCTGATCTTTTTTTTGTTTGTTTGTTTACCATCTGCCTCTCCCATTAGATTGTAAACTTTGCGAGGGCAAAGATCTTTTCTGTTCAATCTGTTGCATTCCCACTATGTTGAAGGTTGCTACACATAGTAGATGTTCAATAAATAGCTGTTGAGTGAATGAAGGAAGGACTTATTGAGAGTTGTTACCATGACTTGAAGGATCATCTGCAACTGGAGCAGAACTAACTCATTATTTCATGTTATAAATAAACTGTACTTCATGCTTTTTTTCTAAAGAGAGGGAAAGTACCTTGATCTAGGCTCCATTTCTCCCTTTCTCTCTACTTCTTTTCTTCCTTCCTTCCTTTCTCCCCTCCCTCCCTCCCTAACTTTCTTTCTTCCCTCCCTCCCTCCCCCTTTCTTTCTTTCCTTCTTTTTCTTTCTTTCTCTTCTTCTATAATAAAAACAATAATTTCCCCAAGCATCCTGTGAAGGTAGCCTGGGGTTTCTTCTTGGATGGTGTATAACTAAAGGTGCTAACATGCATTTGTTCTTGCTGGGAAGTTTTTTCTTTTCTTCATCTCTTAACTGAGTCACCTGGAAGAAACACATATTATCATGGATGTATACCATAGGAGACTCAGATTTTTGCTATTGAGATGTCATTGAAGCAGAAACGCCTAGCTACTGAGGGTAAAGAGGGTCTCTGTCCACAGCTGGGAGCCTCCTGACTCCTGGGATCGCTGAGAGCAAGGATATGACATAGAAGCTGGGAAACCTGAAAGTCACAAAAGAATAGTTGAATGGTAGACCCTGGGCATAGTGTGATATCCTACATGTTTCATGAGGAGCAGTGGTGGACATGTTAAGAAGGATGGTACTTTATATGTTCTGTGCTAGTCTTTGAAGTATTTCTGTGCTTTGACTGGTGTGTTACGTTTCTTCCATTAGGTTATTTAACCTGTAGTTCTCCTGATGATTTTTTTTTGACTGCCATCTATTTACTGTGGCAAGTTTTGTGAGATATTCAAAGACATATTAGTCATGGTGTCTACTGTCAATGAGGTCAGCATCTGACTTGGGAGATAAAACAAAAAGGCATGAAATGTGACTTTGGTCCAATGCAAGACTAACTCTTGAAAGGGATGTTATCATAAAGGAGGGAGGGACAAGAAAAGTCACACAATGCTTTACAGTGGAGGCAGAAACTGAACTGGCCCTGAATGGATGGCTATAAATTAGTGATTAATAAATTATCTCAATATTTTTGAGATATCTAGGCATCAGGATAACAGAGATAGTTTCTCCCTCCAAAGAGGTCACAGTGAACTTAATGGAGAAAAGTAAGCACACTACAGATGTTATAGATGCTGTGATGGAGTTATACACAAGATACAGAGGGAACATGGGAGAGGTGTGGTCAATAAAAAATATATCTCTTTAAAACATATGTAACAGAGAAGAAAGGGGGTATATTACTCGGGTTTTAACCATCCTCCCGATTTTATTTATTTTTATTTTTTAAAAGAGTTTATTTATTATAAATAAATAAATAAATAAATTTATTTATTTATTCATAGAGACACAGAGAGAGAGGCAGAGACACAGGCAGAGAGAGAAGCAGGCTCCATGCAAGGAGTCCAACGTGGGACTCGATCCCAGGTCTCCAGGATCAGGCCCTGGACTGAAGGCGGCGCTAATCCGCTGAGCCACCTGGGCTGCCCCAACCTCCTGATTTTAAACAGGAAGGATTGTATTCAGTGAAATAGATGCTTTTCAAATCATGGAAAGGATGGAGAATCAGGCCTAGGCTGGGACTCTAGGAAGACTCCACAGCACAGAATCAGTCATGAGAAGAACCACCATATTCATCCAAGATTGTCTGGGGAATCAAGGAGTCCCCACTGATGGGATTTTTGGCTTCGGAACCATACCTCATCTGCTAGATTCCCAGCAGTAAATGGATGCCTCACACTTCAGGCACCTCTTTCTGTGGGTTACTCAGTTTTAATTCAGATCTTGAGGGAGTGCATCTGATCAGTGGAAATTAAATACATCTTAAATTGCTAGGGAGTCTGGGAGTTTGTAGTTTTTTAGGTCGTGAAGTATATGAAGACTCACCAGCTGGTGGTTGAAACAGATTGTGTGCACACCCCATTGCCAAAGTTTCTAGGGCTGCACACTGACCTCAAAGGCAAAGGCCTAGTACTGTACCCTGGGTTGGAGGGCTGTCCAATTGGACTGGCAAATTAAAGATCAGCAAGTTGTCCACACCAGTCAAACATATGGAGAAGATTCAAGATTGTAAATTATAATTAACACACACACAAACCCATAGCCAGTTATCTGCTGTCCCCACTGTTATTGTGCTCATGATTTTTTTATGTATTTATTTTTTATTGAGTTATAGTTGACCTATAACATCATATTAATTTCAGGTGTATGAAATAATGATTTGATATTTGTATATATTGCAAAATGATCATCACAAGTCTAGTTAACATCTGTCACCACAGTTAACAGTTTTTTTTCTTGTGATGAGAACTTTTAAGATCTTCTCTCTTAGCAACTATCAAATGTACAACTACAGTCACCATGTTGTACACTACATCCCCAGGACTTATTTATTTCATAGCCGGAGGTTTGTACCTTTTGACCCCCTTCACCCATTTTGCCAACTACCCATCCCCTACCTCTGGCAACCACGAATATGTTCTCTGTGGGTTCCATCTTTTGTTTTTAAAAAGATGGAACTCCTCATGAATTTGCATGTCATCCTTATGCAGGCACCATGCTAATCTCAGTTTCATTCCAGTTTTAGTCCATGTGCTGTAAAGTGAGCACTCCTTTCTTTTCAAAGAATGAGAAAGTCACACAGCAACATCTGACTTTTTTTTTAAAGATTATTTATTTATTTATTGAGACACACACACACACACACAGAGGCAGAGACACAGGCAGAGGAGAAGCAGGCACCATGCAGAGAGCCTGACGTGGGACTCGATCCAGGGTCTCCAGGATCATGCCCTAGGCTGCAGGCAGCGCTAAACCGCTGCACCACCAGGGCTGCCCAACATCTGGCTTTCAAAAGACCTCAGAATGAAACCACCTTTGGGAGGATGTGACTCCCAAGTCAGAGGCCCACAGAACCCCAGCACTCGGACTTTCTCTCCTACTTGGGAGGACACAAGGCACCTGCTATCCCATTTGGTCATGCCCACATTGTTCATTTTCACTTGCTGATTGGGTAGCAGCTAAAAATCTATTACCATGGGGGTAAGAAAGAGCCACAGAAGCCTGTCCAAGGTGAAGAGAAATGGCCCAAGCATAGATAGAAGTGAATAGAAAGTGGGGGAATTAATGAATCAAAGTCAGTGCTTGTGGATATCTTAGATATTAACAAGTTTAATCCTCTTATTTTGTAGATACTGGGATGGAGGCTTGAAGGAGGAAAATGACTTTCCTAGGTTACAGCTTCTAGAAATCATGTCGCCATGTCTTCATGTCTCCAGTCTCATGATACTCCTTTCAGAGAAGCATGGTGTAGTTGCTCTGATGCCACATCCATTCCCTGATGCCCATTCCAATAACCCATAACTCCTCTCATCTTTCACAGTCCTCCAGGTTTCTGTCCTGCTTTCCTCTGTCAGTCCTATCCTCATGTCCTCGTGGGATATCCTCCCATCCTCAGTTGAGGACATCCCCCCATCCTTAATCCTCATAATTTATTTTTCTAATGTCTTCAGACTCACCTTTTCTTCATTATCCTCTTTCCTCTTCTTCTAAACACTGCAATACTATAAAAGGATGAAAGAAACATCCTTTTAAGTTTGTTTGGGATTTTCTTCTAGGAATAATTGTGGAGTATGCCTGTCCATTTGGCTCTTTATTTTTGGAATAAAGAGGAACAGCATTGGGACATTTGGGTGGCTTAGTGGTTGGGCATTTGTCTTTGGCTCAGGGCATGTCCTGAGATCCAGAGATAGAGTCCCATGTCAGGCTCCCTGTGAGGAGCCTGCTTCTCCCTCTGCCTGTGTCTCTGCCTCTCTCTGTGTGTCTCTCATGAATAAATAAATAAAATCTTAAAAAAAAAAGAGGAACAGCATCAATAGCATCCACTGTGCAGCAAGTGAAAGTTATAAATTCTCAAAATTTTTCTTTGAATGATGGCAGTTTAAAAATATCCTTGCTAAAATTGGGTTAAATATAGCAAAGTGTATGATCTTCTTTTAATATGCAGTAATAATAGCTACCCACTTCCTTCAGACAGATATTTTATAGTTCCCATTTATATTTCTTATTATCTGTAAGTCTTAGGGAACACAGGACTTACAGATATAGAATCAAATAAAACACTAAAAAATTAGTAGTAGCAATAAATGTTTCAAAAAAGTTTTTAATAAGAATATATATTTATCACTAATATTAAAAAAATCTGAAAACCAGAAAAGAATAATCTCTGAAGGAAGTCCTGTTCAATTCCACAAATATTTATGAAGTACCACAACTACTAAGGAAGCAGTGAAGGATGCAAGTGGTAGAAAAAAGGGTAGAACACAATCCCTTTGTATAAAGTACATACAATTTTTATGAGCAGCAAGACACCCTCCTTAGATATAATTTATCTCTTCATAGTAAATCAGCTGAATCCCACAAATGCTAGCCACTGCACTAGATGCTGGGAATTCAAGGATAAATGGCATATTCTCCATTCCCAAGGGACTCACAACTATTGAAATATTTCTTTTCCCATTCAGATGAAGATATAAAAAAATTTATAAACAATGGTTTTCAAAACAATAAGATAGCCATTGCAATACGAATTCCTAGTAAAATTCTGGAAATGCATGTTTGAATGGGTAATTTATAGACATTTTTAAAAGCCTGATGATTACTGAGAGCCCACAGAAGTGACCCAAGATAAATCATGCCAAATACACTTCACTTTTAAAATAAGGCTTTTAAATGGTTAGCTTTATATCAGTACTGTAGTGTATTTTGATTGTCTGAAAAGATTTGATAGGCTTCCCATGATATCCCTCTTGAAAAGATGTTTATTATGGATTGGATGGTGAGTTGGTTAATTTTTGATGCAAAATCACCACTTTAAACTAAATGACTTACAATATCAATCATTTTATTTTCCCATGTTTCTGTGGGTCAACATTTTAGGCTCGTTCGGCTGGCTGGTTCTTTTGCTGGAGTCACTAATGTGACTGTAATTATCTGGTAGATCTACTGGCTTTGGTCAAGGGAACCTCCTTGATGGCTTATCTCTAGGTGTCATCCTAGCCCCAACTTCTTCATGTGGCAGTCTCAAGGCAGAAGAGAAGACAGACACCAAAGGTAAGTGTAAGCCTATACGTCAAACATATTTGCTAATACCCCATTGGCCAAAACAAGTCACATAGCCATGGGGGAGGGGAGCCATCCAGAGGCATGGATCCACTGAGAAGGTCATGATTGTGACACTGTACCACCAGTGGTATTAACTGAGCCCATGTCTAGCTAGTTGGACAACAATTCCCAAATAGGGGGACTCCGATAGATGCTCATTTATTGTATTTTATTCTGAATATTGGTTAATGATTTGGGCAAAGGAAATGGAAATATGAGTGTAATTTTGACCATGCCACAAAACTATGATGAATAATATATAAATCCTGAAGCTGAATTTAGCAGTTCAGACCACTTGGCCCAAACCAATAAAAAACAAAACAAAACAAAACAAAACAAATATATCAGTGTTAAGTGAAAAATTCTATAGGGGCACCAGAGTAGCTCAGTTATTTAAGTGTCGGACTCTTGATTTCAGCTCAGATCATGATCTCAGGGTTGTGAAATTGAGTCCCGCATTGGGCTCTATGCTGGGCATGAAGCCTGCTTAAGATTCTCTCTCTCTCGCTCTCCCTCTGCCCCTCCACTCATACCCTCACTCGCTCTCTTTCTCTTAAAAAGAAAAGGTCCTACATGTATGTTAGAAAACAAATTGTGGTCAGACAGAATTGAAAGTTATATGAAGTGATACGGAGATTTTATCTGATACCAAATTTATGAGAGGCTAAATGATTAAGGTGAATTGATAGAAATGTGGTTCACAGGTCATGAAAAGTAACAGTTCCCCAGAACAAAATATTCCCAGTGCATTGTATTTATTTCTGGGTAAAAACTTTGTAGAAGGATATGGAGCTTGGGGAAATCTAGAAGGTGACTGGTGTGAGTACATTTAAATATGATCTCCTGGAGAGAAAACTCTAGATGGAGTATTTGCTCTAGAGAAAAGAAGATTAAAGACTTAAAGAAGATACAAAATCTGTCCTAGTACCTGGGAGACCTGTCAGGGAGAAGAAAACTCTAGAGGGCCAAAATAGGATCAGTGGGAGGAAGTTGCTTGTAGATGGACTTCAAACAAGTATGTGGTTCTTTAACAACCTGAGTAGTTCAACAAGGAATGTGATGTCTTACGAGTTAATGATCTCTCTTCTTGAAAGCTCAAGTAGAGTCTGGAACACTGAGCTGCTGTAGGAGGGGTTCTTGAGGAGTCAAGATTCAAGGAGGCCCATTTCCTTCTTTCCCCATATCTTCACGTACTGAATTAAACAACATTTTCCTCCATTATTATTACCCTTTTTATTGCTGGGGTGCTCTTTAAAAGTTATGAATAGAATCATGACTTTTCATTTTGGTCAACAACACAAAAACATGTAAAAAAAAAAAAAGAAAAGAAAAACATCCCTCTTTCTTTGTCCAATATTATTGTGTGAAGATAGCTTACGCTTTAGATATTTATTTATTTATTTATTTATTTATTTATTTATTTATTTATTTATAATTTTTAAAATTTCTTGTTTAGAGAAGGAGAGAAGAGGACAGGAGGGGTAGAGAAAGAGGGGGAGAGAGAGAATCTTAAGCTTTACATTGTGGGCTCAGTCTCACGACCCTGAGATCATGACTTGAGCCAAAATCAAGATTTGGACACTTAAACCAACTGAGCCTCCCAGGTGCCCCTAGATTTTTAAATACTTGTGTTTTCATCTTGGTTATACCTTTTTTTTAAAGCCATTTTAGTTTCCTTTTCTAAAGCATGAAGGCAGTGGTTCTTACTATGGGCTAAGTGAGATAACCCATATAAAGTGCCTAGTATATAGCAGGTGTCCAATAAGTGCTGATGCTCCCCCATCCATGCCCAGGACATCACACTGCCCTCCATGACACAGCTTTGTTTCAATGACACAGTAGCATTCATCTCTGGTGATCCTAGAAGGGTGGGCCGTGTCTCAGTTTGCTGAGGACATTCCCAGCTCAGGCATGTTGTCCCAGCATAGTTATTAATAGCATCCCCATTTACTCTCAAGCATCCGACTTGGACAAGTCAAGGGATCATCCTATCTAGAACTTCCTCAGTGCCCTCCTTAGGGCATCTTTCAGTTCCCTGTTCCTCATACTGTAGATCAAGGGGTTTAAAATGGGAGTGATGAAAGTGTAGACCACAGACACCACCCGACCCATCTCAGGAGAGTAGCTGGACCGGGGGGACAAGTAGATAAAGCTGGTGCAGCCATACTGCAGGAGGACCACTAAGATGTGGGAGGAACAGGTAGAGAAGGCTCGGTGGCGCCCTTCTGCTGACCGGATCCGTAAAATGGCTGCCATGATGAAGATGTAGGAGGTGGAGATTAAGGACAGGGGGACGCTCAGGACGATGAAGCTGATGATGTACAGGGCAGTCTGGTGAGTGTGTGTGTCTGCGCAGGCCAGGCGCATGACTGCAGGCATGTCACAGTAGAAGTGGTGGATCTCATTGTGGCCACAGAATGGGAGATGGAAGATTAAAATAGTCAGCG